CATTTCTCTCTCAACTGTGCCCAGAACCAGGCTTGACCATTAGAGCACATTCCTGGCAATTCCCTGCTTTTCTGAGCTGTGAAGACGGCCCTCTGGAAAATGCCAAGGCTGAGAGCTGGCTGAGCCGCCTCATCTCTGGCAATCTTCCCAGTCCATCGATCTGTCTCTTTGAATCATATCATTTCAACCCGCAAATGTCACAGACCAAGTTTGGCAGACTCCTCTGGCCAGCAACAAGGAAGGGAGAGAATTAGTCCAACCCTCTGGGCCAGCCTGGTGAATCATTCTTAATCATCTCCGAGGGCTGGGGCTTGGCAGTAAAGGAGTAGAGCCAGCTACTTTCCTCCATATTGGTGGGGCCTTGCCTCTGGCAGAATGGACTTTCACTCACTACTCTTCTCACTGCCTTTTCAAGTAGCCAGTCTGTGCCCATTAAGCTATCTGCTGGACTACTCCTGCCTCACCCGCAGCTTCAGATGCTGAACACAATCAGGAGCCCTGTGATGCCAGCCTTCCAAAAAAGCCAACTGTGTACCTTGGCCTTGTTAGGGTATTGCTCTCTAGTGTGACCAGTGCCCAATGCCCAACTTAGAGTTGGGGAGACCTGCGCCAGTGTTTCAGGTGATACTTCCTAGCTGTGTGAACATAAGCAGATTGTTTCATTTCTCTGAGCCTTAGTTTCCCCATCTGTATAATGGGGACAATAAAAATACCCACCTAGCAGGATTGTTCCCAGGATCAAATGGGAGAATGTGTACAAAGTGCTTTATATGCCTTGAAGGCCCTACAGAGATGGGGGGGCATTATTTCTGATACAGGGAATTTGGGGGGCAGAGGGGAGGTAGACAAGTCAGCAGATAACTATGTCGAGGAAGTCATTTCCCTTCCTAGGCCTCAGTTTCCTCCCCTGTAAAACACGAGAGCTGGGCTGGGTGACCCCAATGGAGGCCAAGGCCAGAGTGTTTACTTCCACCTTGAGGGGAGGGGCCTGTCAGGAGGTTGCACCTGAACTGGGCTTTGAAGGAAAGAGATGGCAATGGGCCAGAGATGGGCAATGGTACCTGGTACTCCAGGACAAGCAGAGGCAGGGTGGAGCCATGCCAAAGTACCCTAGGGGTCCATTAGGAAGATTCCTCTGGCATCTGTTCAAAGGCCTTCACCTCACAAGCTTGTCCAAAGACAGAGCGGCCTAGGGAGGACAGAACAAGGCCCAAACTCACTCTCCCTATTGGAAAAATGGTGGAAATATATTGTTGTTGTTCCTATCCGCAGTAGAGTATAAGCCTCTTGAGGGCAGAGACTGTTTACTTCTTGTCTTTGTAGCCCCAGTGTTTAGTAGGGTGCTGTACCCATAGTAGGGGCTTAATAAAGAATGCCTTTGCAATTGGGTAGATCTCTGCACTGATATTCTGGCTGATCAGGGCAAGGGCTTCCTAGGGAGGTCACAGATACCAGGTGGGCATGGCCCAGGCCAGCTTCACAATAGCAGAGACCAAGGTAAAGAAGCTGTGCAAAGGCCCAGAGGGGCCTACACTAAACATGAATGTCAGTGGGTAGAGCGGCAAACAAGTAGATTGAAGGAGTAAGGCCAATGCCCCTCCCTGTCCTCCTGCCCCACGGACACCTGACTGGCCAGATGCCAACTCCTTTGGCCTAATGGGCTCACAAGGTGCCCACAGGCAACCCCTACCACTTTCCCCATTCATCCCTCTGTCATTGTCACCCTCATGAAGGAAGAGTATGAATGAATGAATGAATGGAGTGAGTGAGTGAGTGAATAAGTGAGTGAGTGAATGAATGAATCTTGGCATACCACTTTATAAAAGTTGCCAGCCCTCACCCCTTCCCAACTAGTTTCTACTGCCTCACCAGAACTCCTGCTGGCCATGTCTGCCTTGTAGACACAGCCACACACATAGACACATGTACAAAGAGAAATGGAGAGAGTTCTGCTCCTGACAGTGAGAGGCCAGGGGGCTCTGGCAGCAGAGTTAGTGAGAGAAGGGAGGCCATCTGGTGCAACAGGACCATTGCAGAACAATTATCTTAATCACCTAATTAGACAGTTCCCGGTGCCTCTCTGGCTACCCGACAAAGCTGACTGGTCTGAGGGGCAGCAGCTGCTCTACTCCCACCAGGATTCCAGGCCATGAGCAGGCCGGCTGGCTTGTCAAGACAGCACCGTGGGCCTTGGTTGCAAACTGGAAGGAAGCCCATGGCTCCCGAGATATGGCCTTCTTCCCCAAGGTACTCAGGTTGGGGAGTGGAGGACAATTCGGCCTCAGAGTCCTGGAGAGGCCTAAACATCCTCTACTGCTGAGGATGTAACTCCCAAAGTTCGGGGTTGACCCTTGGCAAAGCTCATCTTCAGTGGCCCCAGATCTCCCTCCTCCACTGATCCTTGCCACACACCCTCCTCCTCTCCCAGGACTGCCTGGCTATATCATGCTCCCTTAGCACCGCCCTACCCTTCCCAGACAATGGCCTCTCTTCTAATCCTTGCTAGGTTTTGTCCATCCAAACCTTCCTGCCCCTGGATCCTCAGGAATCACTGCTCCCTAGGTGCTGGCCCCTGGGACCTCAAGGCAGGGAAGTCCACGATGGCTCACGATGACTTCATTTGTCATTGCATTTTGTCAGGGGCCTTCTGAAGCCACAATAGCTTTACTCAGAGGGATGACTTATTAGTAGTAGGATTTCAGGTATTAAAGTATAGCCTGAGGAGAGAATGTAAAGTCCTGTGAACATACAAGTGTGGATTAGAGGAAGTGTTGCCACATAGCAGCGCCTGTAAAGAAGCTCTGGGGCTTTGGGTGGGCTGAAAGCTTAACAGCAATCAGCAGGCTTGACTTTTCCATGCATCTGCCTTTGGGTAAAGATGAGGGTAGCCCCTGAAAGTCCCCAGGAGAAGAAATTTGGCCCAGGGCTTCATTAAGGGAGCCAAAGCATCGAGAATAAGTGTTTATTGAGCACTTACTGTGTGCCAGGCACTGTGTTAGTCACTGGGGAAACAAGTACAAAGAATGAAACTATTTGTATTTGCAAAGGGTTTGCATTCTGAGGAAGGCCAGTAGATATCGAAATGATCTACAGCAGAAAGAGAAGCTAGTAAATATGAACATATACAAAGTGGTTTTACATCCAAGGTAGTTTGGGAGGGAGTGTGGCTGACACAGAGCCACATAAAGTGGAAAGGATCATAAAGGCAACACTGGGCCACTGGAGTTGTCCTTGTAGAGGAGACACACAGTCAGATCCAGGCTTAAGGAAAAGCACTTTGGTGATAGTTCATGGGTTGGAGTAGGGAGAGACTTAAGGCAGGAAAGCCAATTAGCAGGCTGCTGTGATAATTTAGGCAAGAGGTGAGGTGAGGGCCTGACCTAAGGTGGGGAGCTGTGGGAGGAGAGAGATGGGGTCAGATGCAAGAGACATTGTAAAAGTCAATTTGGCAACGGATTGTATATGTGGGTGAGGAAGAGTATTCATAATGAACCTTGGATATTGGGAAGATGGCAGCACCTTCAACAGAAGAGGGAAGCACAGAAGGGGGAGCTTAGGGGGAAAGAAAATGAGCTGAGCTTTAGGCATGTTGAGTTCAAGAGATCTCCGCGACATTCAGTTTGAAATAGCCAATAGGCAATGGGTGACCTGGGGGCTGAGAATGACCTACGTAGAGATGATAGTTAAACCATGGTAGCAGGTGAGGAGGGAGGGGAGGGTGTCTGGCTGGCTGTCTATGTGAGCGAGACAGAGAGATGCAGAGAAAGCCAGAGAGAACCAGGAAGGAGTCCTCTGCCCTGCTCAGGCTGCGTGTGGCGGTGTGTGCAGTTCTGGGTGCCACATTTTGAGAAAATAACTATTCAATTCAACAAACACTGAAGCCTCTACTGTGTGCCAGGCTCCATCCTAGGCACCAGGGGACAAAGCCAAAAACAAGTCAGTACCTGATGAACTCCTGTCAAGCCTGGCTAACTCCGAGCTATGTGGCCTGGAAGGCGGGTGGGCTGGCTGGCTGGTTCTTGGAGGGTGGCTGACGGCCCAGGGTTTCAAGGGGAGCTGGGAGATGGCTGCTGAACCTGTTGGATGTTACCGCGACAACCTCACAATTCATCTCCCGCTCTGAATCCCGGATGAAGACGCAAGGCTTCCTGGGATTCTGGTCAAGTTGGGCCATGATTCCTTTTAATGAAAGGTGTTGAGGGCTTGATCTGGGGTGATCTGGGCTGTGTGAGTAGAGAGAAGGAGTCAGATGTGAGCAATACCGTAGTGTGAAGGGAGAAGCTGATTGGATCTGGGGGGCGTGGGGGAACAAGCAGATAAGGACAACACCACGGTTGTGAGCTTGGGAAACCAGGAGGTGCCATGTCTGAAGCATCCTTCGATCCCCAGGGACCAGAACAAGGATTAACCCAGCAGACATTCAGGAAAACTTGCCTGTATTACTGAAGCTGGCACCATTAAATGCTCAATGGCTTTGACTGGGATCTGCCGGGTGGTTTTCCCTTGTTTGCTCACCTTCATATACTAGGGTCTCCATCAAGCCAGAGCCCCTTGCTTTACTGATGCCCTCACTTTAGGGGAAAGGAAACCTGGGGCTGCAATGACAAGATGCTATTTGTCTTCCTCACCTCACTCATTTTTACATGGATGGAAAGGTTGAGCAGAAATTCTGTGCTGAAAACATGTTTGAGATTTTTTCAATCGAGAGGCTCTTGGCCACAGTCAAAAGATCCTGGAATCAGAGGCCCTGGGACCCAATCCTGCCTCTGCCACTTACTCTCTATTGGACCCTAGGCAAGTCCTCAGTTTTCTTCTCTGTAAAATGAGGGGAGTGACCCAGGTGGCCTCCTAGGTCCCTTTCACCTCTAACTCTGTGATCTTGTATGATTTCAATGACCAGCTGGCCCACAGATATTCCCTCCCCTCTGTGCCCATCCCCCATGGTCATTTGAGGCCCTGAGACTCTTTGACACATGTTCTCTCTTTCTTTCCCCACCCAGGTTTCTATGCCATTATGAACCATGGCCCAACTTTACTACAAAAAGGTGAACTACTCGCCCTACCGGGACCGCATCCCGCTGCAGATCGTGAGAGCAGAAGCTGAGCTCTCTGCAGAGGAAAAGGCCTTCCTCACTGCCGTGGAGAAGGGTGACTATGCCAGTGTGAAGCAGGTTCTGCAGGAGGCCGAAATCTACTACAACGTCAACATCAATTGCATGGACCCCCTGGGCCGCAGCGCCCTGCTCATTGCCATAGAAAATGAGAACCTGGAGATCATGGAGCTGCTGCTGAACCACAGTGTGTATGTGGGCGACGCCTTGCTCTATGCCATCCGCAAGGAGGTGGTTGGGGCCGTGGAGCTGCTGCTCAGCTACCGGAAGCCCAGTGGCGAGAAGCAGGTGAGGGCTACCTTGGGGGAGGAGCGGGGGGCTAGGTACAACAGCTTGGGGCAGCAGGGGAACATTCAGCCCCTGCCATGTTGCCCTGGCCGCCTTCCTCTACCTCCCCTCTCCTACTTTCTCAGGAGGAAATGCTGAGATTGGAGGCAGCTACTGAGGCTAGCTTAGCCTCCTGTCCAGGCAGCTTGGCCGGTCAACACTCACAACCTACAACTAAAGAAATGCGGGTCTAGGGACAAGGCCAGAGGCTGCAAGAGGATGGGGTGGGGATGTCCCCTTCTTGGCCCTCTGCTGGGGCCGGGAACCTGGAAGAGAGTCCATTTATCACTTGGTAAAGTTCTCAATCCTTCTCTAGCTTCCTGCTTGGTAAACCTAGGAGAAGTTCTGGATCAGAAGCTGACCAATTGTAGTTATAACCAACCTGCTCCATTCTACCCACTGACTTTAGGAGCCATTGATGGCGTCCTATTCGGGGAGAGAGGTTTTGGTGGTCATTAGGGGAGAAAGCAGTGGAGTCTAGGAGAAGCTCTAGTGATGGACTGAACTGTGCTAAGTATGGCACAGAGACCTGGGTTCAAGTTCTGGTACTGTCACTAACTAGCTGTGTGACCTTAAGCAAGTCACTTCGCCATTCAGCCTCAGTTTCCTTATCTGTCAAATGGGGATAATTCCTGCCCTGCATTACTCAAAGGTGGCTGAGAGGATCAAATGAACTCTGGGATGGGCAAGGATTTTGGAAGCTGTAAAGAAGTTGATAAATGGTTATTAGCTAGTGGTGACCCTTAATTGCAAAAGTGAAATGGTCATCCTTGGCCCCACAGCCCTCACAAGGAAGTTATGAGGATGAGGAAAGTAGAGAGGTGTGGATGGTCCTCAGACAATGAGAACTTGGTCTACAGGAAGAGAGGCCCAGCTTCCAGAAATAAGGAGGTGATTGCCCCCTATGGGGTACCCTCATAAGACCCCATCTGCAGGATTTGGTTCAGTTCTAGGTACCGAAGTTTAGGAAAAACAATAATAAATTGCAAAATATCCAGTAGATGGCAACCAAGCTGGTGGAGGCCTTGAAGCCATGCCATATGAGGATCAATGAAAAGAAGGGAGAAAACAAGTGGAGGGCAGGGGAAGAGGGAAGACCTGAGAGCTGGTTTCAAATATTTGAAGAGTTGTCATGGGGAAAAGGGATTCTGCTGGGCCCCAAAGAGCAGAACCATGAGCAAGAGAGGGACATTTGGGCCTAAGAGGGCAAGAAAACCTTTGGCACAATGAGATCCATCCCAAAATGGGATGGGCTCCCTTTCATCCGGGCCTTCTAGCAAAGGCTGGCTGGCCGCTTGGCTGGGGCTGGTACGGCTTAAACTCGGTGCCTACTGAGGTCCCTTGATGGATTGATTCCAACTTGAAATTCACTAACAAAGGTCAGATATTAGGTAACAAAGGCCTTTAGATCTAGAAATAAATTTAGTGACCAGCTAGACTGACCTCTTCATCTAATGGATGAGGAAACTAAGGGTCCAGAGAGGAGAAAAGACTTGCCCAAAGCCACACAGTGAGCTGGTTTCCTCAGCATTTCTTAGTGGGTTTAGTCTCCTACTGTGGGACTTTTCTCTGGGCAAAGGCAGGAGGATAATAAGACAGTTGGGCAGCCACAGTGGGGGGGGGGTGGAATCCTCTGCACACTGTTCACTTGCTTTGCTTTTCCTTGTGCCACCCCTCCATCCCCACCCTACCATAGCTGGCTCTCTTATTTGACTAGAGACCTTAGTCTTTGGGGTCAATATTCAGTATTCAATTCAACATTCAATAAGCATTCGTGAAGTCCCGATTATGTGCCTCCCACGGTGGTAGATATTGCGGATCCAAACACAAAAAAGCCCGCTGGTCCCTGCCCTCAAGAAGCCTACAGTCTTTTGAATTTGCTCAAGCACAGTGGCCTTCAAAGACTTCTCTAAAGAGGCCAGCATTGCCTGACTTTGCTGCCCCTCCCCCTCAGGTTCTCTGGAGTCTGCCATCCTTATTTGTCTATGACAGATGGCTCCGAATCCACACTGACTTCCCTGATGTGCTAGCAAAGCTGTCTCAACACCTCCACTGAGGGAGGCTTTATTCTGTTTAGGAATGGTGGAGGGTTTGCCAAAGAACAGCGGGCTCTGGGACTAAGGCACTCAGGTATAATCCTGAGCCCATGGTAGAGAGCTGACATGGTGGATGGGCCATGGCATTGGGGGAATCAGAGGCCCCCTTCTAGAGATTGGATCGCAGAGACAAATTTCTTTTCCTTCCCCGTGATTCACAGGCACCTGATAGAAAAGGGCGCGCTAAAGTCTAGAATGGAAGCAATCCACTCCATATTATAGAGGAAACTCTCAGACTGTTGCCTAAATCCTCAAAGACAAGAGCTGCTCTTTATTCCAGACTGATCAGGAGAATGACTTCAATTCTCTGATTTGATTTGACTGTGGCAACCTAGGTCTAGGCCAAAAGAGCAGACTGAAGAGGGACCAGCTGGTTCTGAGAAGAGACTGGGGGCGGGCAACACCTTGCCATGAGCAGTTCATACTCTGATGATAACGGGCCCCACTTCTAGTGTACCTCGGTCCTGGCCAGTCCAACAAGCACTTATCAATTTATCAAGGGGCCAGCCTTGGAATCAGGAAACCCTAGCTTTGAATACTGCCTCTGAGAGACACATACAAAGTATATGAGCACATGGACCAGTCATCTAATCTCAAAGGGTCCCAGGCAACTTGAAGTTACAGATTTGGTGCTGGTATGCATCATTGGAGGAAGTTTCCCCACCAGGACATGAATTCACATGGCTCTGGACTCCCCAACCCCCTTCTCTTTCCCTCGCAGAAAAATGTGTAAGGCACTGGGCTAGGTTATAGGAATACAAAAATACGAGAAGTCCTTGACCTCAAGGAAGTTATCATTTACTATGGGGAGAAATAGATCAGTAAATACATATTGATTTCCTTATAACAACCTGTGAATTAGGAAACATAGGTACAATTATTCCCAGTTTATAAATGAGGAAACTGAGACTCACAGAAGTTAGTGACTTGGCCATCTAGCAAGTCTCAAAATTGACTGGATCCCTAGACAAGGGGCCTTCCTGAGGAACAGTAGACAAAGTATGGCTTTTAGAGGCAGGCTGCTAATTCCAAGGCCAGTGCTGCTCCACTGGACCAGTGACCCATGTCATTGCCAAAGGCAGACTTGAAAATGGAACTTCTCCCACCCTAGTCAGTCTGTTGCTCCCCCAAAGTCGGCCTGGCGCTGGGACAATGATATCCAGCTGAGAGTCCAGATGTCATCACACACTGGCATTCCAGAGGTGCCATGGAGGAGGGAGATGGGCATTTGCCATTCGGGTGTCAGTGAGCAGGCTCTGCTCATTGAAAACATGGCGGTCCCCACTCTGTAGCTAACTGCTAATTTGGCTCTCCAGGGTCATCGAGCAGAGCTAGAAAGCCATACTTACCCAAGGCACTTGGCTGGTCCCTCTCAGGAGGGGCCCAGCTAATTGAAAACTGATTCTTCTCACCTGCTGATGGCTTCTGTGTTTGCCATAACCCTTTCTCCACCCTTTTCCCATTTGTTCTTCACACCAGCCACCAACCCTGTGAGGACTGAGTCAGCGGTGTTTAATGTGAGCTCCTTAACAGTCCGGGACCTAGGCCTGAGTAAGGGCTTAACACACACTGTGTATGTTGAATTAAGGGAAGCAGGGCATTGATCATCCTTATCTAATAGATGAAGAAACTGGGGCTCTGAGAGGTTGTGGCTCCCCGCAAGGCCACACAGTTAGGAACTGTTTGAACCAGGCCTCAAACCCATGGCCTCAGACTTTAAGACCAATATTCTTTCCAGTGTGTCTGGGTAGGTTCATGCACAGGGCCATTTATTATAAGCCCAGCAATGGGAGGGATCTAGGAATGACTACAATGGAGTCATGGCATTGACCTCCCTGTGGCCTCGAGCTCTCTCTTCTGTCCTCTACCTCTCTCAATTCAGGCCACCTTTCAAAGTACACACCAAATGTTGCCTCCTCTGGGAAGTTCTCCCAGGTTGTTCCAGCCTTTGTGGATGAGTTCTCCCTTTTGCTGCTCTTCCAGAGCTCAGAATCTGTCTGTATCACCAGACTGATCATTGGACCACATCTTTAGAGCTGGAAGGTGCCTTAAAGAGCAGTGGATCCCACCATTTCATTATACAAATGGGGAAACTGAGGCAGACAGGGGTGAAGTGACTTTCCCAGGGTTGCACAGCTACGCAGTGTCTGAGGCCAGACTGGAGCCGGGTCTTCCTGATCAGCACTCTGGCCACCGTGCCAGGCAGAGCACTGACTTTGGAATCAGATGACCTGCTTTGGATTCCAGCTCTGCTAGCTGTGATCTCTGTGGCCTCAGATGAGTCACTGAACCTCTCTGGTCCTCAGTTCCTTCATCTGAACCTTGAAGGGCTATAGAAATGTGAGCTATGATTCTGGGAGGGGAGAAGGGAGGACATTCCAAGCATGGGGTGAGAGGTGGGGGGCGGGGAGGTCCGCCTTTGCAAAAGCATGGTGGTGGGAACTGAAATATCTTATTAAGAACAAATAGACCCGCTTGTCTGCAGAGCATGAAGTATCTGATGAGAAGGAGTATGGCCCCAGTTAAGAGCCAAACTGAGGCTCTAAATGCCAACCAGAGGATTTTTGTATTGATGTAGCCTAGAGCCAATAGGAGGAGCCTGTGAAGCTTTGGGAGCAGGACAGGGATGTGGTCAGACCCACACTGCAGGAGGACCAATTAGGCAGCTTGGTGGAGGATTGTGTAGAGGGCCTTGAGTGCAGGGCTCATGGGCATCCTTCTGCATCCCCTATGGGACCACACTTACCTTGGTGCCTGGCACATAAGAAGCACTTAGTAAATGTTTGTTGACTGCCCTACAGAGATGGACCAGGCAGCTGCCACCATCCTATGGCACTGCTCATCTCTCTAGGAAAGTGTCCTGTGAGGCCAATGGGCCCTAGGCCATGGGTGGCAGGATGTAGGGGGCAAAGAGTAGCAGGGGGCAGGAAAATGACACATGGGTAGGCCGAAAGGAAGAGGAAGAGGAAGAGGAGAAGGAAGAGTACGTGCTACCGTGGTCAGGACAAACTGTCCTTGGCTTGTTGGAAATGCAGCTGAGAAATAATCAATGATATCAGATGAAGGGAAATTATGTGAGGGAAACATTTTCTTTTGATTTTCTTTTCATGAGGTGGGGGAGGGTAAATACATGATTCAGTAGAGGGGATCACCAAAACATTTGCAGACCTTTGCTGGGACTCAGCTCCTAGACTGTGGGAAGAACCTGCCACAACTGGGCAATGGCAGGCAGTGAGCAGTGAGCGCAGGCAGGATGAAGCACAAATGCTTCAGCCAGGCCAGTCATTTCCTCTTGGCCACCGTGTGCCTGCAAGTCACCCACTTATCTTAATGGGCTGAGCAGAGACCTGCTAGTGGCCTGAAGTCTCCCGAGAAGACTTGAGGGGCCGTGCCATGGCAGAGCTGTGCCCAGTCTGGGGCCGCCCCTCCCAAAGGCCTATCTTGGAAGGCTCTGAGGCGGAGCTCGGCAAATGAGACCCCCAGTGGGAAACCTGTGAGTGTTGCTACTTGGAAGAAATGAAAGGCAACTTCCTGCCACCATTGAGGTCATAGGACCATAGGCCCAGAGCTAGCAGGGCCCCTAAAGGTCATGTGATACAACCTCTTGTCAAGACCCAAGTTAGGAACCTGGAGGAACTATCTAGGATAAAAAAGATAAATGCCTTTCCCAGAGTTACACAGGTGGGTAGGGGAGTCTGAATTTGAACCCAAGCCTTCTGAATCTAAATCCCACACTTTTTTCCACGAAACCACACTGGCTTTGCAGAAGGGTCTTAAAGGAGGCAGTGGTGAGGCTCAAAGCTGGGGCTGAGCAGGTATGGGCATATATGGGGCAACAGGAAGGCCTAGTGAGTGGCAGCCCCACCCCCACCGCTTAGGAATACCTAGGGAGCCAGAACTGAAAACTAAGGAACCCTCCACAAGGTCCTCCTACTGCCCGTAACCAGGGCACTGCCCAGCACGGATGAAAGTCAAAAAGGGTGAGTATAAAGTCTGAAACTTGGGGTGCAAGGCTCCACATAGGCCAGCACAAGCTGGGGGCAGCCTGGCTAGATAGGCAGTATTCTGAAAAGAGATCGGGTAGCTCCGTAGGAGTCAGTGGAGCTGCAAGCATTTCTGTGAGGCTTCACCTCAAGGAGCTCCCAATCCAATTGAGGAGACAGCAGGCACGTATGCACACACGTGTACACCTAGGGTGGCAAGCCACATCCAAAGCATGCACCAGCCAGGTGACTTTGAAGGGAAAGGGCCACCTGATGGGGCTGTCAGCCACGTCACCCTCCTGCCCCATCACTGCCTCCATTGAGTGCTATGGTGCCCCATCTCCAACAGGCAGCACTTGAGAATGCTTAACTGGTCACCTTTGGCCACCCTCTCATCTCCAATCTCTTCCTTTCTGCAAATCCAGACAAGTCCCCCCATACATAAGACTCTTCCCTCAGCCCTGCCAGACTCCGCTATGTCTCCACTGCCTCCCACATACTCACCCCCACTTCCCACTCCCTACTCACTCCTCAGCCCTTGCAGTCTGGCTTTGAACCCCAGCACACAATGGAGCTTGGTCTCAACTCCACAGAACAAGCTGCCCCTCCCAGGATAAGCAGATCACCTGAAATCCTACAATGTTCCCCCTGCCCTCAGCCTCCTCTGCCCTGACTGGAGGGTAGAGCACTCCACTCTGTCCAGAGCCTTCCATTAGACAGGGGAGAACCTGGACTTGGCTCGGCTTGGTCTCAACTTCATACCACTCCCTAGCCCCCTCCCCATCACCACACACACACACACACACACACACACACACACACACACACACAGAGCCCATTTCCAAAGCTTCCTCAGGTAGTCTTCCCCACTAGATTGTTAGGGGCCGCTAGGTGGCGCCATAGTGCACAGAGCACTTCCTGGAGTCAGGAAGGCTCATCTTCCTGAATTCAAATGCAGCCTGAGACACTTCCTAGCTGTGTGACCCTGGACAAGTCACTTCACCCTGTTTGCCTCAGTTTCCTCATCTCCAAAATGAGCTAGAGAAGGAAGTGGCAAACCTCTCTAGCATCTCTGCCAAGAAAACCCCAAATGGGGTCACAGAGAGTCAGACAGGACTGAAACAACTGAACAACAAATTAGATTGTAAGGTCTCTGAGGGCAGGCACTGTATTTCTTTTCCTTATTCATATTCCTAGCAGTTAGTAAATGCTTAACACATCTTTATTGAATTTGAATTTAACAGCTAAATCCTATGGCTCCTTCTTCCTTAGCTACCATGACAATGCCCTCCTACTGTCCCAGGCAACTCACTAGGACTGTCAGTCACAGAGAGCCTGATCTGTATTGGTAGAAGGTTTCCACACTGCTAGTTCCTTAAACTGTTGAACGGAGCAGATCTGGACCACACAAAGCTCAGACGCATCATCAGTCTTCATTCCCAAGGAACAGAGTGTAAATGACTGCAGCCTTTCTTTGTGGTGCTAGAGAACACTGACCTTTGGCTTTATTGGGTGGCCTTGTGGGCGGAGAGGATGATGTCAGCCCCACTGCTCCAGCTGGCTGCCCATCAGGCTGGGCATCCCTGGAAGTACGCTAGGAAGAGGATCTCAATAAGCAAAGGGCGTGTGTCAGGTGCATTGCTGGAGAACTCCCCATTCAGGGATGGGTGTGCCTAACTGGCCTCTGATGGCCCATCCTGCTCATAAACCCCCAGGGTTCTGCCTTTGCGCATTTGTTTGGGAAGAAGCTGTCTTGGCAATAAAGCCATTCCACAAAAGAACTGGGCACAATAGGGTGCTTGAGAATTCCAATTAGAAACTTGGATCAGTTAATCACAATAATAACTGACTTGTAGCCTTTGGATAATTTGCAAAAGGCTTTCCATATTAGCATCCTATGTGAGCTTCACCACAGCCCTGCCAGGTGGCTATTACTGGTATTGTCAACCCCATTTTGTAGAAGAGGAAATTGAGGCAAACTGAGGTTAAGTGACCTACCCAGGGCCATAGAGATAGTATCAGAAGTGAACCTGGGTGACTCAAGGTCCAGCTGGCTATTATTGGGAGTACTTGAGAAAAGTGACCTTAGGAGAATTCTGGACAGTCTGTGGCAGTGGGTGAGATGCTATCTTCCTCCGTTCCCATCTGTCACAAGAATTGAGCTGAGATCTAAGAGAAGGCGGCTTAAGCCCAAGCTTATTCTGTCCACTGTACTATAATACTGTGTCATGAATGCACATGTCACCCATCTGCGGGACAGCTGCCCACCCCACACCAAGCATCTGTTAAGTGACTGCTGTATGCCAGTCAGTCAAGAAGCATTTGTTAAGTGCCTACTGTGTGCCAGGCACTGTGCCAAGCCTGGGGAAACAAAAAAGAGCAGAAGACAATGCTGAGGCTCTCCAGGAGCCCCCAAGCTAATGGGGGAGACACCCTGCAAACAACTAGGGTAACAGGGAAGAAATGCACAGAGAGGAAGCACTAATTAAGGGGGATGGGAAGCCCAGAGGTGGAGGTGAGGCTGAAGAGCTCCCAGGAAAGGGGCCCAAGTCAGGGAATGGGCCATCTTGTTGGGGAAGCAGCCAGAGGCCGGGCCTCTGGGTCACAGAGCAGCTTCTGAAAACCTTTCACACCAACCAGAGCATTTTACATTTGATCTTGGAGGCCCTAGAGAGCCATGGAGCTTACTGAATAGGGGGGCAACATGGCTGCACCTTATATTATGTAGGATTGCGGCACCGGGACTGCCTTTTGCACGGGGAAGTCCCATTTCAAATTCCCAAAGGCCCCACAGCAAGGCTGGAAAGCAAAGGCCTCACATTCATTCCCACTGCTCAGCCTGCTCTGAGCCCCCAAACCGAGCTGCTCCCCATACCAACCAGAAGCAGTGCTAAAACAATTGAATAGCTGAGCCTGTCCATTCCTCCCTCTTCCCTCCACACAATATTTCTTTTCTTCTCGGAACTCAATTTCTAATGAGAGGCCAGGAGCACCCAGGGTGACTTGGAATCCTGAGAGAAAGCAAACAGAGGAGTGCCATATTTGACTAGGAATCCGGGCCCTCGCACTTGTTATGGGGCCCTGGGCAAGCCACGGCATCACTCTGGGGTTCCTCATTGGCCCAAAGTGACCAGTAACACCTGTGACACCTCCCTCATAAAGCTGGTACAAAGAAAAGTCTTTGCAGTCCTAAGGGAACATAGTATTGTTGAGGCCTAAGAGTTGTGCCCTCTTCTGTGAAGGGCCCTCCCAGCTGTGTAGCCTGTGATTTCTACCTATGGAGTAAGCTTCTCCTAGTCTCACAGCCCATTTGAGAGATGGAAAAACTGAGGCCCAGAGAGATTCAGTGCTTTGCTCAAGATCATACCAACAGCAAACAAAACTGGGGCAGGGACTCTTAGCATGGCATCATCCCCCACAGAGCTGACATGGTACTTTGCTCATGGTAACAGGTCAGACAATACTCGTTGACTCATGTGGTTTGTGTCCATTTTTCTGATGGTAGATATAAGTGCAAATGTTGCACACACACACACACACACATGCACACACGCACTTCACCACCACACTGGGCCCTCATTGAACACGTACCTCTCTCATCGTCTTGAGCTTAACAACTTTTGCTGCTTCTCCCATGTCTGTGTGTCTTGGCCTAGGTCCCCACTCTGATGATGGACACCCAGTTCTCAGAGTTCACCCCGGACATCACGCCCATCATGCTGGCTGCCCACACCAACAACTACGAGATCATCAAATTGCTCGTCCAACGCAGGGTCGCCATTCCCCGGCCCCACCAGATTCGCTGCAATTGTGTGGAGTGTGTGTCCGGCTCAGAGGTGGACAGCCTGCGGCACTCCCGCTCACGTCTCAACATCTACAAGGCCCTGGCCAGCCCCTCGCTCATCGCCCTGTCCAGCGAGGACCCCATCCTGACTGCCTTCCGCCTTGGGTGGGAGCTCAAGGAGCTCAGCAAGGTGGAGAATGAGTTTAAGGCTGAGTATGAGGAGCTGTCCCAGCAGTGCAAGCGCTTTGCCAAAGACCTCCTGGACCAGGCTCGCAGCTCCCGGGAGCTGGAAATCATCCTGAACCACCGCGATGGCCACGCCGAGGACCTCGACCCCCAGAAGTGCCACGACCTGGCCAAGCTGAAGGTGGCAATCAAGTATCAGCAGAAAGAGGTAAGGACTCCCAGGCATTAGCTCACAAGGCCTGATGTCTGAGCTGCCAGTTGGCTCACTTCTCAGGCCCTGCCCTCTGCCACCACCGCCACCACCTCAACGACAGTAATTGCAAGAGACAACACTTATGTTAGCTTCAAGGTTTGCTAAACACTCCCCCTAGGTTAGCCCATTCTCAAGACAGGGTCACTGGCCCAGAGCAACAGCTCACCCTGGAGGCTCTCAAGGCCAACCTTCAACTTCACCTGGGCTGCCTTTTTCCATGGGATGGCTTTGGCCTTGAGCGTTTCCAGACCCTAGTCAGGTGTGGCTTGGGTCTTGCTGCTCAGTGCCACATTCACTTGGGTGAGCACAGAGCTCCTTTGCCACCTGTCCTGATGCCTGCCCCCCTTCTACAGCTCAGGGTAAATCAGCCCAAAGTAGTCATGCCTCCCCACTCCCTGAATGTTTGGGTCCAGGTGAAGCCAGGTTCCAAACGACCATTTGCAGTAGGTGTGGAGGGGAAAAGCCATCCCCACAAAAGTGGGCTGGGGTGGGGACTAGGCAGAGGGAAGGACATCAGGGCTGATGGTTACTTAGGTGATGGGTGGATTTGTTTATGGTCTTAAAGGCTGATTGTAGAGAGAAGAGTAAGTCTCTTTAAAATATATATGCTTTAGTGAAGCCCTCTGGCATTTCCAGGAACCCCTCCTGCCCTTCCATACTGACAAAGGAAATGATTAAGCACAAACATTTGTGAGCGGGACTCCATCTGACAGTAAACACAGCATTCCTCCCTCGCTGTTCCCCACTTCTCTACTCTAGGGAAGGAGATAGGTTTCATTAACGGTCTGGACCCATTTTTTGGTGAAATATAGTTCTTTCCAAGCTACTTATTTCACTCTTCATCTTTTCTTATCAATCTTTGTACATCTCTCTAAAGTCCTCATAATTTGTTATTTCTAATTGCATGAGATTCTGGTATGTTGACATGCCCTGGTTGGCTCAGCCATTCTCCAACTGATAGGGACTCACTCTGTCTCTATTCATTTACTACCGGTGTTTTGTTTCTATATTTGATTCCCATGGCATATTTGCCCAGTAGTGGGATAACTTCAGTCAAAGGATAGAGACAGTTGAATCACTTTTCTTTCATCATTCCAAGTTGATATCCAGAACAATTGGGTTAATTCATAGCTGCACCAACAATGTATCAGTGTGCCTATCTGCCCACAGCCTCACCAACGATTGCTGTTCTCGGTTTTTTAATCATCTTAGCCAATTTGCAGAGTATGGGATCTCAGATCATTTTCTTAATCCCGGGCTGGCAGAGATATTTATTCATGGATTCTGCCCAAACTTGCTGCTTATGACTTCACTAAGATAGTAATCACCCTTAGCAGCATTAGTGCCCTTAGAGGTCAGGGCCCTGGTCAGTGGACCTCACTCACTCCCATGCCCTGGGGACAGCTCTGGGTGACACAAGTTGATGGGAACTAGAGTCTGAGAGATTGGGCCAACTGGGAACTTACTGTAGATTACTGACTCTCCTTCCCTTGGTGTAAAAGACCCCCATAACTATGCATAGTCTGTTTTCCAGCTGATTGCTAATTAGCCACAGGACCTCTCAGCTGCTCCTCATCTCAGACTCCTCACTTACTGGGACCCTTCCATGTCCCACCATGTGACTGCGGGCTAATTAATCCAGCCTATATTCCTTTCCCTCCAACCATCAGGAACCTTCTATTTGTCATTTCTCTTCCCCCTATTGGTCTCTCTCATATCTGAATGCTCCTTAACCTGAATTCCAACCTTCCTCATCCATATCTGGTCTGAATCCTGCCTTACTTACTCATAGGAATGAGCACTAATCTCTGAATTCAGCTTTCACAGCTTCCCAAGAGGGTCCTGAGCTCCATTTTGCCCCCTGCATGATACCAGTCAATAAATATTTATTAAATGCCTAGTATGTACCAGGCACTGTGCCATCCATGAGCAGAAGTTACTCCTCATGAAGCTTCATGATTCCTGGCGCTGTTTCCTCTCTGGTCCCAGAGACAATCCCTCAGGCCAAGAGAGTTACATCCTCTCACTGAGGTGAAGTGACTGGATGAAAGGAGGAAGATGCTTCTTTTCCTGTACAGTGCTGAAAATTACAAAGGAGATAAGACATTCACTCATACACAGTAACTCTCCCCGTGCACATGTATTCTCATGGTTTTTGTGCTATTGCTTCTAAGGGTTTTTAAGCACATGTTGCATGTTTGCAATGATAGGTACTTGCCCCCAGGGGCCAAGAAGAGATGCTCTGTTGCTCAAGTGATGCTTCATTTCACCTGGTTTAGGATTCACTGACAGCTCTTTAGTGCCACCATTGCCTTGAGACTTGGTGAAGGGATCGGAGCCCCTGGCTGCTCACTTCTGCCTGAGTCCTCTCTCAGTTGGTCAGAAATAGGATCCATTTACTCCTGTGCCCTGCCCAGAGACACCCTTGGCAATATTCCAAGGCTCTTTACCTAGGGCTCCTGCTGGGAGTGGAGGAGAAAAGCTGGGGGAAAATGCAGGCACGCTGGGGAGTAGTTTTGAAAGAGGCTTGACTCAGAGAATCAGCAAATGGGAGAATGCAGGCTTGTTCTGGGCTGTTCCTCCCCCAGCATTCAATGTGCTCCTCTTCTAGCAGTTCTTGAACAGCCTCTGCTGCTGCTGGGTGAAGCCTGGCTCACAAAGTCACAGCTTGGGAGCGATCAAGATTTTTCAAGTCACTCACTGGTTGAGAGTGCCTTTTCCACATTGTTTGCCTAATGGCCAGTTCAGTTCAATAAAATTCTTAATATCGACCAAGAAGGCAGGCTGTTCCTTCTTTGAAATCCTCAGAACAAAAGAAGCCAAGTATCTAGAAGCTCCAGAGGGCATGACACCTTGGGAAATCTGCATGAGTGTCTGTGGCCCTCAGGTGCGCGCACGCACACACACACACACACACACACACACACACGTACACACGCACACTGCACGCACACACACGCACGCACACACGTACACACGGATAAAACCTGTAGCCCAGAAGCTGAGCTGGAAGGGACCCCCAAGGCTATGTGGTCCAGCCTCCTCATTTTCCAAGGGAGGGTCACGCAGGAAGTCAATGTAAAAACTGGGATTTGAACTCAGGTCCTCCAACTCCTAAGTCAGCACTCTGCTGTCTACCCACCACTGAGTCAAGCATGTGTTTGCTGACCTCTTGGAGGCTGCCCAGGTTATGGCCCCCTGACCTTACACCTAACTCCCTTCAGGAGTTCCCTCTGGCCAATAGGATAACATCCTGGGGCCAGTCCATCCTCATCATGGAATCAGCCAATGCAAACCCACACAGCCCATCATATCTAGTCAGCCCATCTGGCTGCCCACCCTGGCCATCTCCTTCCCAAATGGCCTGTCACCACCTGGGTACCACTCTGAGAACAATACTGAAATCAACAGAGGCAGCTGCTGGCATAGTAGAGCGCCAGGCCTAGAGTCAGAAAGACCCGAGTTCAAATCTGGCCTCAGACACTTACTGTCTGGGTGACCCCAGGCAGGTCACTTAACCTCTGCCTGCCTCAATTTCCTCAACTGTAAAATGGGGATAATAATAGCACCTACCTCAAGGGGTTATTGCAAGGATAAAATGGAGATCATATTCTTAAAAAGCATTTAACATCTGGTCCAATGGCAATGCTCATCTTTTTCCTGATTGTCTGCTACCTTGTCTTTGCTCACATCATCCCGTGAGCCTGGAATGTGTCTGTTGAAATCTTTGCCATCTTTTGAAACCCATGTTCCATGCCCCTTCCTCCATGAAGCCTTCCTGCTGTCCCCCTCTCCCCTCCCAGCCTCCAATAATATTCTCATGATGCCTCCTCTGTTTATATTGACTCACATTTCTCCAGCCCTTTGAAAGGTAGACCATGTCTTGGCCTTTGCGCAGCCATCTCAGCCGGGTCTTGTCTATCTGCCGCTGATGTCTAGTGTGATCTACCTTCTTGGGCTCAGGAAAACCATGCCTTCTGTATTTGGGTGCCTCACACAGAAGAAGTACTCAGGAAATAGGAGTTGGTCATTCTGTGATAGACCTGCATGCAGTGAAGTGTTCCGTTCTTCAGCCTTTCCTCTGATGTGATGGAAATGTGGCATGGAATTGGAAGACCAACTTTTTTTAACCTGTTCTCATTCGTGTTCCCTCTTCCATGTTGTAAGCAAGACATCCCACTCCAGGCCGCTGAGTTACCTGGAATGGGTGTGTCCTTCAAGCTCCCAAGTGATGTCCAGGAGTTTTCTGGGGGTTCCAGGGCTTCCCACTGGCACTTGTGGGCTGCAGACTAAGGAAAGCAGAGATGTGCCATGGCTTGCCCAGGCTGGTGAGCTCCTAGGTTTGATGAGAATAATCCTGTACTTGCAGAACCACTACATTTGGCATTAGATATAGACATGGAATGATTTGGTTGAATCTCGTTGGGCCTTCTGGGAGCTGATAAAGAGGGGGCACCCCCCCAAAAAAAGCTCTTTAGAACACAAGCTTAGCCTTCAGTGGAACAGCACCCATTCGTTTCTATGGGGCTGAATTTGCAGCTGAGATCTAGGCAGCAAAGGGATCGGCTGAATTTCAATAGCCTCCCTGGCTCTCTTGTCTCCTTGGAGTGGATCCTGTCCATGCCGCAGACCCCAAGGGCAATGCAGGGTTTGGCCTAGCTGGCCTCTGCGGTGTCTTCCACTGCACAGATTCCCTAGTTCAGTGCCTAAACATGATTTCCACTCTGAGAACCAATCCCATCTGATTCAAAGGGGCTGTGTGTGCTGTGCGAGGTATCTGGGGCAGGGGCTGGGCCACCAGAGGCTTCTGGCTCGGTTCCCTATGTGGGTGGCCCCGAGGGTGGCTGGGACAGCAGCAGTGGCAGCCACCTCATGCCTTCACTGTGGTGCTCCCGGGCAGTAAGGGGAGAAGTGGAGCAGAGGAACCTGATTCCTGGGGCTTTGCAGAGGAACCT